ATAGCCTACAAAACAATGAGATAATATTTTTAAGTTCTAAAAGGAAAAAGAAAAATGTTGTCAACCTTAAATTATTTAAAGCAGCCTCAGCACCTGTACCTATGGTACAAATAGAAAACAACTGACAAAACAGTAGATTTTAATTAAATTCCCCTGATCAATACGCATACGTAATTATCTACGCACCTCAACTGAAAGGCAGAAATTGTCACATAGTACCTAAAAGAAACTCACACTTTATAAAAGGATGCAAACAGACCAGGTGCCACGGCTCACACCTGTAATCCCAGCACTCTGGGAGACCGAGGCAGGTAGATCGCTTGACCTCAGGAGGTCACGACCAGCCTGGGCAAAAAAGCAAGACACTGCCATTACTAAAAATAAAAAATTAGCCAGGTGTAGTGGCACACATCGCTGTCCCGGCTACTTGGGAGGCTGAAACAGGAGGATCACTTGAGCCCAGATGTTTAAGGTTGCCGTGAGCTAGGCTGAGGCCACTGCATTCTAGCCTGGGCAGCAGAGTGAGACTCTGTTTCTCCCCACCCCCCAAAAAGATGCAAATAGGTGAAAATAAAAAATGGAAAAAGATGTATCATGTTAATGTTGATCAAAGGTAACTGGAATGGCTATATTAATAGGCTACATAAGTATCACACAAAGTAGACTTCAGATCAAATATGATATTACAAGGAATAAAAAAGGTCATTTAATAATGACATAAGGTTAATTGTTTACGGACATAATCTTTATACAAAATTTCAAAATGCATGAAGGCAACACTGCTGTCACTGCAAGACGGATCCACAATCACAGTCAGTGTGACAGCGACCTATTAACAGAACAAGCAACAAAAAATGAGCACGGACACAGACAGCCTGGACAGCACCATCCAGTGAAGACACAGAACACAAGCATGGACACAGCCTGGACAGTACCATCCAGTGAAGACACAGAACACAAGCATGGACACAGCCTGGACAGTACCGTCCACTGCTGACACAGAACACGAGTGCTGACACAGCCTGGACAGCACCGTCCACTGCTGACACAGAACACGAGCATGGACACAGCCTGGACAGCACCGCCCACTGCTGACACAGATCAGGAGCACAGACACAGCCTGCGCAGCACCGTCCACTGCTGACACAGAACACGAGCGCGGACACAGCCTGGACAGCACCGTCCACTACTGACACAGAACACAAGCATGGACACAGCCTGGACAGCACCGTCCACTGCTGACACAGATCACGAGCGCGGACGCAGCCTGGACAGCACCGTCCACTGCTGACACAGATCACGAGCGCGGACACAGCCCGGACAGCACCGTCCACTGCTGACACAGATCACGAGCGCGGACACAGCCCGGACAGCACCGTCCACTGCTGACACAGAACACGAACACGGACACAGCCCGGGCAGCACCATCCACTGCTGACACAGATCAGGAGCGCGGACACAGCCCGGACAGCACCGTCCACTGCTGACACAGATCACGAGCGCGGACACAGCCCGGACAGTACCGTCCACTGCTGACACAGAATACGAGCGCGGACACAGCCTGGACAGAACCGTCCACTGCTGACACAGAACACGAGCGCGGACACAGCCTGGACAGTACCGTCCACTGCTGACACAGATCAGGAGCACAGACACAGCCTGGACAGCACCGTTCACTGCTGACACAGAACACGAACACGGACACAGCCTTGACAGCACCATCCACTGTCCACTACTGTCACAGAACAGTCCACCCAGGTATAGCAGGATGTGCGTTTATTTCCAATGTATACGTAAAATTTATCAGAATACAACAGGTCTTCAAAATATTCATGGGAAATATGCATTATGAAAACACTGGATTTCATAATTGTTTTATGCTGAAGTAAACTGACAGTAATTTGTCATATCCTGTCTGAATAGGTATAGTTTGAGGCACTAAAAAGGATAAATATGTCAGACTTAAAAGAGCCCCATGAAAGCAACATGAATTCTGTACAATGGAAGCAAAAACACTTCAAATTTATAAAACTTGAATGGAAGAATGGTTTGCAAAAAGTTTATGGAGGTGGGCGTGGTGGCTCACGCCTGTAATCTTAGCACTCTGGAAGCC